CTCACTGCCCAGGCAGGTCTCAAACCTGTGGGCTCAGGCTATCCACTCGCCTCAGCCTCCGAAAGGCACAGGATTACAGGCTGAGTCACCAAGCCCGGCTCTTTTTTTTTCTGAGTAGGAGTCTCACTCTGTTGCCCAGGCTAGAGTGTACTGGCACGCTCACAGACACCACAGCCTCAACCTGTTAGGCTCAGGTGATCCTTCCGCCTCAGCCTTCCAAGTAGCTGGAACCATAAGTATGCACCACTACACCCAGCTAATTTTTTAATTTGTTGTAGAGACGAGGTCTTACCAAGTTGCCCAGGCTGGTATCAAAACCCTGAATTCAGGCAATCCTCTCGCCTTCACCTCCCAAAGTGCTGAGATTACAGTAATTTTTTTTATCTATTTGCTGATCATATGTCTTCTTTTCTGACTTACCTGTTCATGTCCCTTGTCCATTTTCTAATTTGTAGGAGATGTTTCAAAAAAATTAATAATCTTTTATTTATTATAAGAGACACAGATATAATTAACTAACTAAAAATAGCCTAGTTTGTCCCTAGATTTACAAAGACACTGAGTATGTAGTAAAATGAGCTCAAGACCATCAGGGCTGTAGTTGGAACGGACAAAGGAGGAAAAGGAACTCTGTTTTCTACTCAGTTTTAAAAAAACACTAGCTAACTTAGAGAAAATGATATACTATGCTTAAAAGCTGTAGACTCAGTAATAAAGATAATACTGTTCATTCTGATCCTAGAGTATATAACATTATGGTCAATAAGACTATTTTTCAGACAACTTGGCTTCCTCATCATGGACCAATAATCATGGCACATGCTACCAACATACCACTACTGCCCATAAAACTGCATGTGTGTAGCAAGACTTATCCTGTCAGCTAGCATGGAGTTTGTTCAAAACAAACCAATTGTTTCAAAGATGTGCAAACATCAATCAGAACTGCTTAGGCTTCTGTTACAGAGAGAGTCACGTTACCATGTAGATGGGACTTGAACCACAATTCTGGAGCCTTCTAAACTGATCTGGGGGGCATAGGCTTCTTTATTTTCAATCTGTGCTGTGTCGACCACCACCTAAGGCAGAAAAAATAACAACCAGCTTTCAGAAAGGAAAATAAATCACAAACAAATCCAATACATAAGCCTATCAATGCTGAGTGATTCTGGCAAGAACTATTCCCCTGGCAGTGCAATTGTGCCAAGGCCACTTGGGGCCCCAGGAAGACAATAGCAAGTAATAAAGATGACTGAATATAATAAAACTTCAATAAACAGATACCAAACTCTGGGTGTGGGATTTACTAACTTTCCAAGCACCACTAGCACTTTTTCCAAACTAGAAGAATTTCAAAGATAGTCATAAAATATTTTAAAGCCAAATCTGTGATATTTCAGAATAGGTAAAGCCATACAGAGTTGCTTATCGTGATTCTAAATTCAGCCTCTAATGGAACTGGTTTCCATTGTTGTAAACAGAGTTCCCACAGCTGGTCTGCAATGACCTTCAGAAAAGACTTCCTGTCCAAGGAACAGCCATTGTTGAACCAGACAGGTGTTTCCTCTCTCCTCCCATCCCCAGAACCATAATCTAAAGGTTCTTTGTCAGTCACACACAAAGTTGCCCTGCAATCAAAGTGTACACAACTAAGACCTTTCTGCTCTCTGAATAACATAATTTTTTTTTAACCTACAATGTTTTCTTAAAGCAGCCTATGTGGCCTTCTGCCTTATTTTGCACACTCCTTTCTGGAAAACTCTCCTGGTTTCAGCTAAATGGTCTTTGGGAATATAAGTTGATCTCCTAAAGGCCATGGGTTCTTCTACACTTCATCAGGGTATCTCTAGTTTACTACTTCTCCTGGGGATTCTTACATTAAAGAACAGATCCTAAAGGAAATATAACTCACCACTGTTGAAAGGTCCTCATTGGGCTCTCTACAAGGTAGTATCACACTTAGCTGGACCACCTGAGCCATCACCCACTTGAAACAAAAGGACAGGCAGGGCTTGGTGGCTTAGCCTGTAATCCCAGCACTTTGGGAGGCCAAGGTGAGTGGATTGCCTGAGCCCGCAGGTTTGAGACCCACCGGGCAACTTGGCAAGACCTTGTCTCTACAATAAATCAAAAAATTAGCCAGACGTGGTAGTGCGCACCTGTAGTTCCGGCTACTTGGAAGGCTGAGGCTGAAGGATCACCTGAACCCAGCAGGTCGAGGCTGCGGTGGCCGGGAGCGGCCACTGCACTCCAGTCTGGGCGACAGAGTGAGACTCCAACTCAAAAAAAGAAACAAAAGGACAGCATTCTCCCAATAACTCTTTTCATAAATAAAGAAGGAATCAGACTTTTAAAAAAGGTTCAAAACATTGTAGGCTAAAAAAAGGTTTTCTTCTACTCTAATTAGCTTGCTCCAACCACTAAAAGTAGTCATTTACTAGAAAGTGAGATCTAGTACAAGATTTTTTGGGTCAATGGTGCCAAACAAAGAGCTACATGATGATTTCAGATTTCCTGACCTCTCCCAACTTTAGCTAAAAATTGGTTTTATTTATCTGAAAAGGTGAAAAGACAAAGCCATTATTTCTGAGTTGATGATGTTATTTTATTGCTAAGAAGATAAGTATATGGCTGGGCATGGTGGCTCACGCCTATAATCCCAGCACTTTGGGAGGCCGAGGTAAGAGGATTGCCTGAGTCCATGGGTTCAAGACCAGCCTGGGCAACTTGGCGAGACCTCATCTCTACAATAAATCAAAAACATTAGAACTTAGCGAGACCTCATCTCTACAATAAATCAAAAACATTAGCTGGGCATGGTGGTTATTTGGAAGGCTGAGACAGAAGGACTGCCGAAGCCCAGCAGGTTAAGGCTAAAATGGCTGTGAACGTGAACGTGCCACTGCACTCTACTCCACTCTAGCCTGGGTGACAGAGTGAGACTCCAACTCAAAAAAAAAAAAAAAAAAAAGATAAGCAGAGAGCTCTCCGTAGTGACTGAATGGGGGTGTTACTTATATCAGTGTCACTAAGGGAGGCCTCTTAGAGGTGACTTTGGAATTGACACCAGGAAGATGAGAAGGAGTGGGCCATATGAAGATCAGAGAGAAGAGTATTTGTGAAAGGGGCACCAAGTGCAAAGGCCTGAGACACAAAGAAGCTTGGCATGTCTGAGTAACAGATATCCGACATAGCTCCAGAGTGATGGGCCAGGAAAAGAGGCCCTGTCAGAGACCATTAGTAATGTAATGGTTCCCTTAAAATGAAAAAGGCCTATAGCATTCTGTATTCATTCCCTGAAAATATATACTGTAACCCATTTTTTCAAAACAATACTTTTTTTTTTTTAAATCAGAGTCTCACTCTGTCACCCAGCTGGAGTACAGTGGCACACTCACAGCCACAGCAGTCTCGACCTGCTGGGCTTAGGTTATCTTTCCACCTCAGTCTTCCAAGTAGCTGGAACCAGCTCCCAAAGTGCTGGGATTACAGGTGTGAGCCACTGTGCCTGGCTAACAAAATACTTTTTTTTTTTGAGTTGGAGTCTCACTCTGTCACCCAGATTGGAGTGCAGTGGCTGCTCCCGGCCACGGCAGCCTCGACCTGCTGGGCTCCGGCGATCCTTCCGCCTCAGCCTTCTGAGTAGCCGGAATTACAGGTGTACGCTACCACGCCTGGCTAATTTTTTGATTTATTGTAGAGATGAGGTCTCACCTGCCCAGGCGGGTCTCGAACCCGCGGGCTCAGGCAATCCACTCACCTCAACCTCCCAAAGGCGCGGGATTACAGGCTGAGCCACCGAGCCCGGCCACAAAATACTTTTAATGTTGCTCTTCGTTCACTATTTTTTTTTTAAGAGATACAATCTTGCTTTGTTGCCCAGGCTGAAGTGTAGTGGGGCAATTATACTTCATTGTAACTTTGAACTCCTGAGCTCAAGTGATCCTTTCATCTTAGTCTCTCTAGTAGTTGGGACTATAGGCGCACATCACCATGCCCAGCTAGATTTTTTTTTTTTTTTTTTTAAGATATGGGGTCTTACTAATGTTGCCCAGGTTGGTCTTGAACTTGAACTCCTGGGGATCAAGCAATCCTCCCACCTTAACCACCCAAAGTGCTGGGATTATAGGCATGAAATACCATGTACAGACTTTTTGTAATCTTTTCTATCTGGTCTAAATTCTATAGCACTGCAGAACATTTTAATGATTCAATATTCTTATACGTGTTCCCATACCACCACATCCTCACACACATAAAACGTCTCTCTCTATTCTGCATATCACATACCACATATACTCACTCACCAGTCCAGCTTGGCCAAACAGTAGCTGCACAGCAGTCTTGCAGGCACCCCGCCAGGTGGATGGGCAAACCTGGTTCAGCACTTCAGTAACAGGAAAATCATCCCTGGATGTGATTCCATTAGAGCAGCCTGCTTCCTTGATCAGCTGTAACATTGTATGCTATAGATTGATAAGAAGAGAGTTCACACCTCAAGGCAAAGCCAGGCAAGGCTCTAAGATTTGTACAAACGCTTTTACACAATTCTCAAGAGAAAAGTATTTTAAGTACACCCTCATCGTGTCATTTAAATTTCTCTAATGATTAACATCGGTCACCCTCAGAGATTTTCTCAACCTCGTAGAGTGAATGGCTAGATATGGATACACATGCATTATTATCCCTGTTAATTTTTTTTAAACAGAGACAAGGGCCTGCTCTGATGTCCAGGATGGAGTGCAGAGGCCCAGTCGTAGCTCATCATATCTAAAACACCTGGGTTAAAGCAACCCTCCTGCCTCAGCCTTCCGAGTAGCTGGGAATATAGGTACACACTTCCACACAAGGCTATTTCTTATTTTTATTTTTTGGGTTGGTGTCCCACTCTGCCGTCCAGGCTGGAATGCAGTGGCACACTCATGGCCACCGCGGCCTCGACCTGCTGGGCTCAGGCGATCCTTCCACCTCAGCCTTCCAAGTGGCTGGAACTACAGTCGGATGCCGCCATTCCTGGCTAATTTTTTAAGTTTTTTTAGAGATGAGGTCTCGCCAAGTTGCCTGGGCTGGTCTCGAACCCATGGGCTCAGGCAGTCCTCTCACCTTGGCCTCCCAAAGTGCTGGGATTATAGAAGCGAGCCGCTGCACCTAGCCTACTTTTTTATTTTTTATAGAGATGAGGTCTCACTATGTTGACCAAGCTGCTTGAACTCCTGGCCTCAAGTGATCCTTTTGTCTCGGCCTCCCAAAGCACTGGGATTACAAGCAGAGCTACTGTGCCTCAGCCCACATGCATTATAATATACACATGTGATTTCTACACTAGCACAACATACAAAATTGTTTAACAATCTACTGACACAAATTCATTGAGGAATTTTGAAATTCTGAATCTCTCCAAACACGGAAACAAAATCACCTGTTAAAAGTAAATACTAATCAAAATCTCAACTTTATTTTGAATGACCAAATAAACAGACAGGCAGGCTGTGGAAACAGAATGCATAAGCTCAGATTCCAGCTCTCCTCCTTTCTAGCTGTGTGACCTTGGGCCTCAGTTCCCCTACCTGCCACAGAAAAAGGGCAGGACCCACCTTGTAGGTGAGCAATAAACAAGACAATGCATAGATAAACACTTGGCACAATGCCTGGCACACATGGTGCTCCACAAATAGTCATTACTACTGTAATATGATGACAAGAGTTCTTATATTTTAATTCACATAAATCCACTGAGAAACATAAGTCATAAGCAATATTTTAGAGTACTTTATTTTATTTTTTGAGTTGCAGTCTCGCTCCGTCACCCAGACTGGAGTGTAGTGGTCCGCACCCAGGTACTGCAACCTCAACCTGCTGGGCTCCGGCGATCCTTCCGCCTCAGCCTTCCAAGTAGCCAGAACTATAGGCGCGTGCTACCATGCCTGGCTAATTTCTTTTTTTTTATTTATTGTAGAGACAAGGTCTCGCCAAGTTGCCCAGGTGGGTCTCGAACCCGTGGGCTCAGACAATCTACTCACCTTGGCCTCCCAAAAAGACAGGATTACAGGCTAAGCCACCGAGCCTGGACTTAGAATACTTTCAAAACCTCTATATTAATTATTTGAATACAATTATGAATTAAACTTTCTTGGTAAATGTCTCATTTTAAAAAGTCACCACCACAGGTCTGCTTTCAGATACCAGCTTCCTGAGGAAAGTCAGTCTATTGGTGTCTGTTTTTTTGTTTTGTCTTGTTTTGAAGACTAGGGGTCTCACTTTGTTGCCCAGGCTAGATTCAAATTTCTGGGCTCAAGGGATCCTCCAGTCTCAGCCTCCCAAATAGCTAGGGTTATAGCCATACACCACTGCACCCAGCTTCTGTTTTGTTTTTTAATCTACATTCTTCCTAAGCCTTTAAATTTCCTTTAAGAATTCTGTTTTCAAATTCATGCTCAGCTGCTGGAACCCCAAGGAAAGCTACCGTCTTAAGTTTCAGATTGTCGGCGGCCGACTCATTAAAGGAGACGCCCTTCAGGAAGTGCGATCCTATCTGCACAGGGACGGTAGGAAGCTCACACTGCATGGGCTGCGGGGGTGTCTGCCTCCGCCCCGTCTGCTGGGCTTCCGCCTCGCTGCAGCAGCCCTGAAAAAGTTTGGATGGAAGAAGAGAGGTGACCCACAGCTCATCTGTCAAAACACTTCATTCACACTAGGCCAGGGGTCCCCAACCCCGGGGCTACAGACCAGTACCGTAGCCTGTTAGGAACCAGGCCACACAGTAGGAGGTGAGCGATGGGTAAGCTAGAGAAGTTTCATCTATATTTACAGTCACTCCCCCTCACTCGTGTCACTGCCTGCTGTCAGATCAGCAGCAGCATTAGATTCTCAAAGGAACTGAACCTTACTGTAAACTGCACAAGCAAAGGATCTAGGTTGTCCACTCCTTATAAGAACCTCATACCTGATGGTCTAAATTAGAGCTGAGGCAGTGATGCTAGCATGGAGAGAAGCTGCAAATACAGATCAACATTAGCAGTGAAGTCTGACTGCACGGAGACCATAATAAATCAACTGCTTGCAGACTCATATCAAAACCCTGTCAGTGAGTTGATGTACTTTAAATGTACAGCTGCTTCTGGTGGTATAATTATTGTGTAATTATGAGTAACATATAATTATTTCATTACATATTTAGTATATGTAAATATATATTTATATTATATATTACAATGTAATAATAATAGAAATAAAGTGCACAATAAATGTAATGCACTTGAATCATCCCGAAACCACCCTCCTACCTGGTCTATGGAAAAACTGTCTTCCATGAAACCAGTTCCTGATGCCAAAAAGGTTGGGGACCACAGCACTAGACTATGTGAACAGCTGCCCCATAAGTCCCAAGAACTACCAGAAAGAAAGTGTACCTGCAAACTTGTTTCAATTGCCTTTGGGTTGAGGTGGAAGCCAGCTTTCATTGCATATTCACAGTGGCCTAAGCTTTCCAGAGCCATCTTATATGCCTGTAAACAAATTGTTTTTAAGAATCAAGATTATAAAGCAGACTATAAAATGAAAAAGTTCAATGCAAACAGAAAATTTAAATTTCTGTAGTTATTAAAAAACTTAAGGCCAATTACTATTTCATTACCCTTTCTAATTGGTTCAGCATCACAACTTTAACTACCTCTCTCCTTTGTTTCTATCTCTCTCTCTTTTTTTGAGTTGGAGTTTCCCTCTGTTGCCCAGGCTAAAGTGCAGTGGCATGCTCACAACCACCGCAGTCTCAACCTGCTGGATCCTTCTGCCTCAGCCTTCCAAATAGCTGGAACTACAGGCACACACCCAGCGAATTTTTCGATTTATTATAGAGATGAGATCTCACCAAGTTGCCCAGGCTGGCGTCGAACCCCTGGGCTCAAGCTATCCTCTTGCCCTAGCTTCCCAAAGTGCTGGGATTATAGCCTTGAGCCACCGCTCCCAGCTAGTTTCTACCTCTCGAATATCAGTATGTTAGTTCTGAAAATCTTACTTGCAATGCACTGTCAATTTTTATGTTCAGTTCTTTTAACTGGTGCTCAGGAATTACTGCACTTTGAGAACAAAAGAGTTGTTGAACTTCAATTCCTGCCAGGCGACCATCACAGCCTCTTTCTCTTAGTCTAGATGTTGCCTACAATATAGTGACAGAAAGGTAAAATTAAAACAACAACAGAAAAAAAAATTCCATACCTAAAATAAAATAAGAGACTACCAGACTACCTAAGCATTAGATATAAACCAGAGTTCTTGATCATTTGTATTATAAAGTGAGCAGTCTGACATTCTGAAAATCTAAATTCACCAACCTAAAGAGAAAGCAAACCTGATATAGCACTACTGTATTTTAGGAACCCTGGAAAAGACTTACCTGCTATTGGCTTATATATATATGTGTATGTGTGTGTGTGTATATATATATATTATAAAACATTCACACATTTTAAATTCCCTGCTTTGTTTAGTTTTTATTTTATTTATTATTTTTAGTTTTTGAGTCAGGGTCTCATTCTGTCGTCCAGGCTGTAGTGCAGTGGCATGATCACGGTTCACCACAGCCATGACCTCCTGGACTCAGGCAATCTTTCTCCCTCAGCCTCCTGAGTAGCTGGGACTAAAGGCATGTGCCACCACACCTGGCTAATTTATTTAGTTTTTAGAGACAGGGTCTCGCTCTGCCGTTCAGGATAGAGTACAGTGGCACAATGATAGCTTACTGCAACCTCGAACTCCTAGATTCAAGCAACCTTCCTACATCAGTCTCCCGAGTACTCAGGACTATAGGCGCAACTATGTCTAGCTAATTAAAAACATTTTTATTTTAGAGACAAGGGCTTGCTATATGCTGCCCAGGCTGGTTTCAAACTCCTAGCCTCAAGTGATCCTCCCACCTTGGCCTTTCAAAGTGCTAGGATTACAGGCATGAGTAATGCCTGGCCCCTGCTTTAAAAATACATATTACCTAGAATATTGGCACTTAGAGTTTTCAGAATTAAAAAAAGAAAGAATATACATGGTGGGGTGCTCCTATACACCAAAGTAAAAAGCCATACTGATACAGAACAGGAAAAGACATCCATGGAACTCATGAAAAACAGAGTTTTTGAAATCGCCACATGAAAATGAAATGCTTACTGTTCAGTAATTAAATGTGTTAACAAAGAGTACAGAAGGAAGGCAGAAAAACAAGAAAGCAATCTTTGTCTCATACTGATGAAATGTGAAAGATACACACATGGTCAGGACTAGAAGGAAACATCAGATAGTGTCAGATGAGTGGAGGGATTCAGGAGGCACTGCCCTTCAGATTCTGTTTTGGGGCCACAATATTTGTGAAACAACTTTTTTATTTACTTGACAAGTTAATTTTTGGTCTTCTAGGCCAGTGCAGGAGTTTTAATACTTATCAAACTTGCAAAGTAGAATAATATAACAAGCAGCCATAATGGTCCAAAGTTTTAGTTTCAAAAACTACATATAAATACCATTCCAGTCATTCCTTGAACCCTAACAGTCTCACAGCTTAAAACTGTTTGGCTCTTTCTTTTTTTCTTTTTTTTTTTGAGTCGGAGTCTCATTCTGTTGCCCAGACTGGAGTGCAGTGGCTGCTCCCAGCCACCGCAGCCTCAACCGGCTGGGCTCTGGCAATCCTTCCGCCTCAGTCTTCCAAGTAGCTGGAACTACAGGCGCGCGCTACCACGCCCAGCTGATTTTTTGATTTATTGTAGAGATGAGGTCTCGCTGCCCAGGCGGGTCTCGAACCTGTGGGCTCAGGCAATCCACTCACCTCAGCTTCTCAAAGGCGCGGGATTACAGGCTGAGCCACTGAGCCCGGCTTTTTTTTTTTCTTTCTTTTTTTTAGGTGGAGTATCACTCTGTTGCCCAGGTTGGAGTGCAGTGGCACACTCACAGTCACCGCAGCCTCAAACTGCTGGGCTCAGGTCATCCTTCCGTCTCAGCCTTCCAAGAAGCTGGAACTACAGGCATGTGCTACCATGCCCGGCTTTTTTTTTTTACTTATTGTAGAGATGAGGTTTCACCAAGTTGCCCAGGCTAGTCCCAAACCCCTGAGCTCAGACAATCCTCTCGCCTAGGCCTCCCAAAGTGCTGGGATTATAGGCTTGAGCCACTGCGCCCAGCCCTGTTTGGTTCTTTCTAAGAAAGAGTTTCAGTTAAATATTTAGCCTACAAGTTGTTATACTAGGTATCATCAGGTAAATACTAGAGCACAAAATCTAGTATATATACTAGAGGTCTTTGCCCTCCTGCAACTGATCGCCTCACAGCTGAAAAGGTAAACAAATAAAACATAAAATTTAAAGTGGAGGAAAACATATTGAGGGAAACAAACAGAGCACTAACAAGGAGCATCCTAGAAAGTAGCACTTAGGTTGAGAGTTAATGGAAGGTAGTTAATGGAACTGCACAGGTGCAAGAATGTCAGGATCAGCAGATGGAGCCTTTATAAAGGCCAAAACCCAAAAATCCCAGGTAGTAAAGAATAAGTCACATCCAATAAGTGAGGGAACTAGAACCAAATAAGTGAGGGGAAAGAGACCACAGATAAGACTGGCGATTGGCTGGGTGCAGTAGCTCACGCCTGTAATCCCAGCACTTTGGGAGACGGAGGTGAGAGGATTATCTGAACCCAGGGCTTCGAGAGCAGCCTGGGCAATATGGTGAGACCTCATCTCTACAACAAATCAAAAAAATCAGCTGGGCATGGTGACATGGGCCTGTACTTCCAGCTCCTTGGAAGGCTGAGGCGGAAGGATCGCCTGAGCCCAGCAGGTCAAGGCTGCGGTGGCTGGGAGTGTGCCACTGTACCCCAGCCAGGGTGACAGAGTGAGACTCCAACTCAAAAAGAAAAAAGACTGGTGATCAAGGCAAGACCCACACTAGGCAGAACTAAGCAGATCATGGTAAGGGGTCCACGGACCACCTAAAGCAATGAGAAGTAACATCATCCCATTTTAAAATGAAGGCCAGCAAGACAAGGAGGGGGGAAGAGCATCCACGGGAAAAGTAATGACCCCTTGAACTAAGGTAGTGATAAAGAAAATGGAAAGAAGGGGACAGATCTGGGTTAGTATTTTGGAGGTGGGACCTGCACTGTTTTCTTAAGGATTAGATTGGATGTAGACATGATGTAGACAGGTGCCACTGCATTCCAGCCTGAGCAGCAATGTGAGACTTCTATACACACACACACACACACACACAGATTCATTTGACAAAGCTAAAGGAAGAGACATTGATGTGTGTACATTTTCTATATGTTTGAATTACTTTTTTTTTTTTGAGTTGGAGTCTCACTCTGTCACCCAGGCTGGAGTGCAGTGGCACACTCCCAGCCACCACAGCCTTGACGTGGTGGCTTCCGGGGATCCTTCTGCCTCACCCTTCCATGTATGCAGAACCATAGATGCACACTACCACACCTGGCTAATTTTTGATGTATTATATACACTGGTCTCGATAAATTGCCTGGGTGGGTCTCGAACCCGTGGGCTCAGGCAATCCACTCAGCCTCCCAAAGTGCTGGGATTACAGGCTGAGCCACCGAGCCCAGCCATATGTTTGCATTACTCTGTAATCCTTTTATTTTGAGTCAGAGTCTCACTCTGCCGCCAGGCTGAAGTGCAGTGGCATAGTCACAACTACTGCAGCCTCAGCCTGCTGGGCTCAGGCAATTATTCCACCTCAGCCTTCCAAGTAGCTGGAACAATAGGCACACATCACTACACTCGGTTAATTTTTTAATTTATCGTAGAGATGAAGTCTTGCCAAGTTGTCCAGGCTGGCCTCTATCCCTGTGCTCAGGCAATCCTCTCACCTTCACTTCCCATAGTGCTGGGCTTACAGATGTGAGCCACCGCACCAAGTTTAATTATTTTTTAGAATGAATGAAAGGTGAAAAAATGGTAGACAATGACTCCAAGAAGTTGGTTTTGAAAAGAGCAGAGAAGCATGGCAGCTTTTTTCTGTTGGAAGCATGCTTGTATACTGGTGGGAACAGGCTGAGGATGAGGAAGATAAAACACATGATCCCACCACAGAAGCTGGTCCTCAGCAAGAATGGAGGCATGGTGGGGACAGGGCAAGCCTGGACAGGAAGAGAGGACACTTACCCTGCTGTGATGATGGGGAAAGAGAGGAGTGTGAAGAGGGGTGGGCAGTGGTGTTTGGGCACCTGAGGAAGAAGGGCTGCTGTCAAGTAGATTCTATTTTCTCAGTGTAGGGTGAGGTACATCACTGGTTGGACATAGAGGGGCTGTAAGGAGGGTGGAAAGACTTGGATAGACTAAAATGGGTGGAGGAAATGGTCTAGGTCAAGAGGTCAAGGGAGTACTAGAAGGCCTCCTATAAGCATGAGTGATGCCAGCAAGTGGAGCCGAGAAAACGAAACCAGGTATTAAAGCTTATGAATAAGCTGAATAGTCAGGAGGTTGGAGCCCAGCACTCAGGAGGACAAGGAGGGTTGTCAAATCAAATGCCAGGACACAGGTCTGGACCCCAAGGCTTAGCCATCTATAGTGAAGCCAACAGGTCCCATCCCTACAGACAATTCTAAATTAGCATTCCAGGGCTACAGGAGAAAGAAACTGAATGGAAATTCAAAAGTAATGACAACAAAGCAAAACAGCGTAAAACTGAAATAATAAGAAAATTAGAAACTATACAATATTAAATGTAAAAAATTAGGTTTTAAACATTTGAACAAAGGAGATTTCTAAAACATAAAATGAAATCCTTTGCCAAGCTAATTTAGGAATGATTCAAATTTAGTTATTATATATAATGAATCGATATATCATTCATTAACTATACATTATCATATACTCTGTGCTTGCCTATTGGCATAATAATACTCTGCAAAATGGGGAAATAAATCCTAGTTAAAGTCTCAACTTCAAAGGTTTATTTTTTTCTTTACTGGAAACAAGGAGTATTAAAATGCCTTCAAGAAATGTGTTATTGATTATAAGTGAAAACTTTTTGAAACTTTAAGAGCTGTTTTTTATTGGCTTTTACTGAAGTTTAAATTCTTCTGGTTGTGAGACCAGGCGCAGTGGCTCAAGCCTGTAAACCTAGCACTTTGGAAGGCCAAGGCAAGAGGACTGCCTGAGCTCAGGGGTTTGAGACCAGCCTGGGTAACTTGATGGGACCTCGTCTCTACAATAAATCAAAAAAATAGCCAGATGTGGGAGCACACACCTGTAGTTCCAGCTACTTGGAAGGCTGAGGTGGAAGGATCACCTGAACCCAGCAGGTTGAGGCTGCGGTGGCTGTGAGCATGTCACTGCATTCCAGCCTGGGCAACGGAGGCTCAAAATAAATAAATAAATTCTTCTGGTTGAGAAAAAGGAATAGAGAATGCCACACCAAAGTGACCAGAAAAACAATACCATACTAGGCTGGAATTCCACACCGGAGAGGCTCAGGGAGTATTTGCAGTCCACCACTATGGCAGGTCCCTTCCCGTCATGCGGCTGTCACCATGAAAAGAGAATCTTCATTATGATTCTCCCCCATATACACTCCCTGATTCCTGATCACCATGCCATACCATACTGTACTCACTAGGGAGCCAAGTTCTTGATCTCACTCTTGCTGATGGCTAGATTTTATAAACATATCTACTGTGCTAGGAAATAGTCAATCTTCCAAAAGATGAAAGACTTCATGAAATCCAACAAAGCAATACTGGAGAACTATCCACATGTAAAGCAACTGACAAACTAGGCAGAGTTTGACCAACTAAGAATCTTAAAGAATTAAAAAAGTTTCACAGATGCCAAGCATTTCTTTCTGTTTTTTTATTTTTATTTTTTGAGGTGGAGTCTTACTCTGTCGCCCAGGCTAGAATGCAGTGGCATACTCACGGCCACTCCAGTGTCGACCTGCTAAGCTCCAGCACTACCACACCCAGCTAATTTTTTAAAATTTATTGTAAAGATGAGGTCACGTCAAGTTGCCTGGGCTGGTCTTGAACCTGCAGGCTCAAGCAATCCACTTGCCTTGGCCTCCCAAAGTGCCATGATTACAAGCTGAGCCATCAAACCCAGCCTTTACCAAGCACTTTTTGTTTTTGAGTTGGAGTCTTACTCTGTCACCCAGGCTGGAGGGCAGTGGCACGCTCCCAGTCACCACAGCCTCAACCTGCTGGGCTCAGGTGATTCTTCTGCCTCAGCCTTCCAAGTAGCTGGAACTACAGACACACCCCACCATGCCCAGCTAATTTTTTGATTTATTGTAGAGATGAGGTCTCTCCAAGTTGCCCAGGCTGGTCTCGAACCTGCGGACTCAGGCAATCCTCTCATCTCGGCCTCCCAAAGTGCTGGGATTACAGGCTGAGCCATCGCGCCCAGCCACCAAGCACTTTTAAAGACAATGATCTGGCTATCAAAAAGGACACGAAATTCCCTGTGTTCCCCAAGCTTTCACTCTGGTGTGGCTGAGGCTTTGAAGCCTGCAATTTCATCGGTTGGCCAGACACTCCTTCTTCTCTACCTCGCTGCCTCGCTGACCACTTACCCTCCCCAGACAGCTCCACCCTCTCTTTCCTTAGGTGCCAGTCTTTTCTGCCTGGTATATCATCTTAGAAGCTTTCCTACACCACTCCCAGTCAGAGACAGGGCCCTTGCTGTCTCCTACACATCTACATCATGGCCCCCTAAACCTTGTTTCTGTAAGCCCATTATCCTAGTAGGCTGGGAGTAGAGGTTGTCATCCTAGTGTCTGGCACAGGCCTGGCACAGGCCTGGCACAAAGTGGGCATTCACAAAGACATGCACTGTTAAATGAATTAACAAGCTAATGATAACAGTTTAAAACTTGTATTTCTAAGCGAAATGGTTCTTTGGAGAACTAACAGGTGAAAGCCTTCTGGACCCTCTCCTTTGTGAACAGGGCACCAGTCTTCCCAAAGCAGGGTTACCTCAGCAGCCCCCCGCCAGGACCGTACAGCTTCCTCCAGTTCCGGTGTGTGGCCCATGCCAGATAAGCTGCCACCACTGCTGCCGTTCTTTTTCTCTGGCGCAACCTCAGCAAAGCAAGAGTGAGCCACTGGCTGGACCTTCTGTAATGCATGAGTTAAAAACTGGAAATGGACTTGCACCACTGTCAGGAAGCATCGCCCCAACACCTGTGAAAACAAGAGAGCCAGAGATTTTAAGTTTTGAGTTGTAGCTTGATTACCGCAATAAATTTTCAACTATCAACCTGAATAGAAGGCAATAATTAACGCTTAGATCTGAAGTCATACAAGGTTAAAAAGTCACCATGCTTCAGAATCATCTGCCTTTGTTTTTGTGTTTGGACTTTGGTGCCTGATGCCTATACGTCAAAACATTTCAATCAAATAGCAAGCCCCAGGGTTCAAATGGGTCTTCCAAAATTCTACCAAGTCTTCCCCAATTCTGTTTTCTACTCCCGCACCTGGACTCTGGCTCACATCAATTCTGGTTGTCTTTGAGCCCCTGCTGAACCAGAGCAATCCACTAGTCCAGTTAAGTCCACATGGTATTCAGAAGGCAAAGTAAAAAAAACACATGATTAAAAATCTGAAAGAAGATCAGTTTGAAGAGAAGACATTCCACTGAAAATGGAATCCAAATATACTGGTTATTTTAGTAATAGTGTTAACATAGTTATTAACATAGCTGAATGTCATATTTCCAATCTTAAGAAACAAAGCTGACAGACCAGTCTTTTAGGAAGTCAACAAAACACAGTGGACAATTCCATTTATCAGTACAGCAGAAATCCACTAACGTGACACACATCAGTAGTTGGTTGATTAAGAGTTCAAGGAGGATAGTCAGTAAAAAGTACTGCACATATAATACTATCTTAATATATAATATTAACATGTAACACACTATAGCAATACGTATACTAAAAACACAGTTTACCACAAGCTTCTTCAGATATGAACACACATTTATCTGGCAATCTTCTGGTATCAGCTAAAGTTGCTCTTCTTTTTTTTTGAGTCGGAGTCTCACTCTGTCGCCCAGAGTGGAGTGCAGTGGCCCATTCACGGCCACCGCATCCTCGCCCTGCTGGGCTCTGGCGATCCTTCCCCCTCAGCCTTCCAAGGAGTTGGAACTACAGGCACACGCCACCATGCCTGGCTTATTTTTTCATTTATTGCAGAGATGAGGTCTTGTCAAGTTGCCCAGGCTGGCCTCAAGCCCTTGGGCTCTGGCAATCCTTTCACCTTGGCCTCCCAAAGTGCTGGGATTATAGGTGTGAGCCACCGTGCCCGGGCTAGCTAAAGCTATTCTGACAGCTTGTATGCTGCTCCATTTCCTTTCTTGTGTAAACCACACCTACAATGTGTTTGCTATGATTTCCTATTTCTCTTTCTTTAATGTAGAGCAAGAACTTGCCACTTATACAACAATTTGAGCACAGACCTTCCAGATTAGTGACATTCTTTCCTAATCTCTTACAGTTGCTTTGCCCTCACCAAATTTGACAATAATACCAACAAAAGCCTTCTGCAGCTCTTTTATCATGTTCCAAAATACTCAAATCTTTTGTAGAAGGTACTTTATATTCCACTGGCTTACAAAGTACCTTACTTACTCACAAAAAATTTACTTTACTGAATTTGCAATTCATCTGAGTGGGAACAGACCTGAGAGGGCTCACTCACTGCCAGGCCTCAGTGCACTGCCTCGGGGAGGTAGTGAAGGTTGGGGAACTGTTTCCATTGTCTTTACAAGGAATCAAAATCCAAGCAGTATACATGCTCCAGCCCAGTCCTGTCCCGTAGAGTGGCACAAAACGGGACTGAACCTGGGACCTCTCATCTCCCAGCACTCTAGTCAGAGTCTGCTCTTTACCACACACCCTCTCAATCCCCAGGGGTCAGAGCTGTTTCCTGAAGAAACACAGGCAGGCCAGCTCCCAGAATGACACTTATTTCTTCTAATTTTTTTTTCCCGCCTGTGGAAATCACCAGTACCAAACTAAACAAGCAAACAAAAAAACAAGCAAACCTCATACCAAAGCACCCTCCTTCTGAGTGAACAACCAGAACCACAGGGTGAACCTCTACTCAAATGTCCTGGATTTCCACTCATACTTCCCTCAGGGCTCCTCCTCATCAGAGATCTGTGCTAGATAGGTTGGATGGGGGACACAAAGGTAAGCAGACCTAGGAACTCATTAGAGACAAGTGACATGAATAAACAGCATTTATTTAGTACTATAAATAAATAATAACAGCCCGTCGTAGTCAAGCACTCAACATGTACTTGATCCAAGCTAAAGATTTCACCTGGGTTATCTTATTTAGTCCCAGGAACAATCCTATAAGGTCATCCCCATTTCACAGACAATAAACTGAAGCACAGAAAGGTTATAAAACTTTGTCAAGGGGACACAAACTGGATGTGCAGCATAGTCACTTGACTCAAGTGACTATGTCCGTAGCCAGTGTGCCTCACTGACTTCTACAGACTGTAAACTGGAAACAGCTATGGGCTGACAGCACTGAGACAAGGCACATGACAGAAACTCAACTGTAACTGGTGAAGGTGGAGGATGTCCTGATGCTCCCCACACACTGCAAGCACAGGAAGGAGGAATGGAGCTGGCTCTTCAGGGAAACAAATCTCCCCACCCCCTTCCCCAGCATCTTGGCAGCTACGAGAAAGGGGGAGGAGGAGAGAAAATGAAGATGCCATGCACCATTTGCTCTGGGGTCACATTCTCACAGCTTCTGACCGATACAACTGAGTCATTCATTCTTTCAACAAATATGTATATGTGAATGCCTAATATGTACAAGGCACAAAAAGCCTGAGGAAACTACAAGAAACAGATTGAACAAGTCTCCGCTCTCACAAGGGCTACATTCCAATGGGGTCAGGTACTATTGGAAAATTAACACCAAGGGCCAAGGTGGTTTAAAAAAAAAGGGATCTCTGAGGAAATGATCAAGAAAGACCTACATTCCCCTTTCTAAATGGAAAACAACTCTGAGAAATGGTTCTGAAGGCCTAAATCAGGGTTCCCAAATCCAGAATAGGACACACTCTAACAATGACGGTTTGGGTCACACACACTCTCACTTGGTAGGATGAGGGTTGAGGAGGGTCCTCTTGCTGTGAAGTGGGAATGGGGAAAGGGGAAAACTGCTGCAGGAATAAACAGGCAGGAGATGTGAGACAACTGGCGTTGTCAGTATGTTTTCTCCATCATTTACTATATGATTGACCTTGGATGAGTCATTTAATCTAAGTTTCTTCCCTATAAATAAGGAACAATGTGAACAAGAGCTTAGCTATTGTGCACTCCCCTTCCTACCCATGATGTGTGGACCCTCAACCCGAATTATGATCGTAACAAAATATCTGAGTTAAGCCGGGCTCGGTGGCTCAGCCTGTAATCCCGCGCCTTTGGGAGGCTGAGGTGA